TCTTATCTGATTTGTCTCAGCACCGTTTTTTTCCCCCTCAACTTTCTGTGGAGGAAAGTCACACATCAAGAAGGCCAAGCAAGGGAAGATGAACACAACAAGTGCCCATTATAGGGACAAGACAGCTCTGGAGTAGAAGAGCCAGCACTTCTCAGAGGTGTCTGAAGTGACCAGAAGAATCCCTGGGGAGCCACTAATCATAAAGTAAAAGCTTTAAAAATGCCACACCAGGTGTCCCACTCTTGGTCTGACAGCCTGAAACGCCTCAGCTATTCCACGTGATTTAGTGCTCCATGAAGACATACTGCTGTCACATGAAGCTGACAAAAGCTCCATCCCTTCCAAATAAAAAACACCTTATGACACAGTAGGAAGAATCTAGTGACACCCTGTTTATCAAATCACTGTCATGTTGTTGTACGTTGACTGCTGCATGATGGTGACAATGTGTGGGAGGAATATTTGGTACACACACACACCCAAAAACTCAGCATTGCTGCCCACAGTAGATGGGACTACTTTGAGGGCCCAACAGTCTGAGCCCTGAGACTGTCCAAATACACAGAACAGACCCAGAAGAATGGAGAAACGTCCATGACTATGACTGAAGATGGCAGTAAAGGCTAGATGCCATCAAAGGGACCAGAATTGACTGAAAAAACATGTCCCACCTTTATTTGGAGTCTTTTGGGAATATAAGCAAACTGGGGTCTTGGATGCACGCTGCTCATAGTGAACTTGACATGAGGTGTCAAGTTACTCTGGCGCTAAGAAATAATACCAGTCTATATCTCCCCGTCCCTGAGATGAGAAGGGACCAACTCTTAGTGCCTACATTTTGCAGTCAGAACACCTGCTGCTTTCTGCCTGTGCAGCTTCTTGCTGGAAAGTAAAGAAAAGCTGGGTTTGGAAGACATCAGTTTAGGTAGGATGGGACTTGTACAGCTTTCTCCAGGAAGAAGGGAGCTCTTCTTTCTAGAACAGAAAAGGAAGAAAGGAATATAGGCTGGGTCTCTTAGACCAAGTTGTGTATGGGCAACTAGATGGATGCGAATAGGTGTTTTATATCCCTGGTTATTCTGCCTCTTTCTGCGATCCTAAGGGAATTCACAGCTAAGGAACAGACAGGAAACGAAGCGAAAGATCCAGACACCAGAACCTAATCCATATATGTCTGTATCTACAAAGCCGAAACAACTCACTTCTGCAGCTCTAGAAACACCTGACAACTTTATGGGAGAGAGAAGGGGCCCCGGATAGTGGCTTTATGGCTTCAGTGGCCAAATACAAAGATAGTGCAATATCCCTGTTTGAGAAATACAAGCTATGAGACTACACCACAGCCGAAGTATTACAGGACTTTGATCACCACCCACACTGTCCTCTGCGGACTCTGAAGGCAGAGAAGCCGGGTTGTGCGTAAACATTCAGCTTGTTCAGAGAAAGAGAGTAACCACAGGTGGAAACTGCATCTCAGAAATGCATCCTCATTAGACCTGGCATTAGAAATCCCATGGCTGTACCCTGAGCTGCTCCTGCTCAGTATGGTGGTTCTCCACCGCCATTACAGAGTGGCTCCTGGGGTTTGGTCAAAGGTGGCAAATGTGCCTTGGTATTTTCTGTGGGAAGAAAAGTCTTGGAGCTTTGAACAGGAAAGGTTGAGTAGAGCTTCAAACTTGTGAATTAATTATGGATTGGCATTTCGAGCAGCTGCAAACTAAGAAAGTCATACACCTTTTGCTTTTTTTGTGGCAGCAGATGGCAGCCTGCGTATCTGGACACGGAGCTGAGGACAGTAGAGGTGCCTGCTGTCTTGGTCCTTCTTTCTAGCCTTATGGCCAAAGTCTTATCAGATTAAAAACTTACAGGGGTTGTATTTCTCACTCAAACAGAACAAGAATAGGCATGTCAGTCTGGAAAGGGGATTAACACCTACTAGGTGGTGCAAGGTGCGATGCCAGAAGGCTTAACTGAGAAAGCCATAAAAGCAAAAAAAGAAGAATGAGAGAGATACAATTAAATTATAATAATGAAGATTAGTGCTAACCAAGAATAGCTGTGATGCAGTGAAGATTGCAGTGAAGGAAGTTCTGATATAAACCAGTATCCACGTGGAACAGAGGCACTTGACTGTTGTGTTGCTCATTTATACCACGAGGTGAGTACTAGTAACACACCTGATAGGTCTAAAAGTCTCTGGTTCAACTCTTAGCTGGCAGCACCCAGTGGCAAATACACGTAAGGATGTGACTCAAAGGATAAATCCATTTTCCAGTGGCACATGGATCACTGCTATTGCTACCTCAGTATTGCATGCAATAATTGTATTTAATCAAGGTAACATTCTTCATTTGTAGCCCTACAAAAAAAAAATCCTGTTTCATTACACATTTGCAATTAGCATAAATTATGCAAAACAAATCTATTACCTTCTACATCAGGGTCTCCAAATGGGTTTAATTCTGCTGTGTCAGGATCACCAAAAGGGTTCGTACTAGAGTTGGCCAGGTCTCGCTCCTCTTCATCCAGAAAATTAAGCTTATTGATAAGCTCTATAAACAAGTTGGAATATTGTTTTAATACAGATACAAACTGTTCATTTAACATATTTCAAGTTGAAAAAACCTTGTATCAACAGTCCCTCGAAACACTGCACCACAGTATAGCACGAACTGCACAACTAAGCTAATGCATTTCAGTAAGTACACCAACAAAGGAGGAAAAAAAAAGTGAAATGAATGAAACTTCTATTTGCTGATCAGACCATCATGTAACAGAAATTACTATGAAGAGAGCCTTCCATTATCTTCACTAAATAAATGTTCCAGGATATCTAACAAGCTAAATACAGTGATTTCTTTTTGGTTGTTCACATACATGTTAACTATTTTGGATGTAACATGCATGTAAAATCAGAGAGGGGACATTTTGTCATGTTAGAGAGGTCAAGTTAGGCTTGGGGTCTGTTCGGGGTTTGGGGTTTTTTTTGTAATTTTTTTTTCTTTCTTGTTCATTATCAGATGACAACGGAGCTGTAGAGGAGATAGACTCTTTCTCTATCTTATTGTTACCTGTTGGATGCGCTACAAATTACTGAGAGTCATGCTGGGTGGAAGCACGGAGATAAAACTGACAGTTGAATACAAGCAGGAGTCAAAAGGTAACAGGTCACAGTAAATACAGACAATCAGAAACAGAAAGAAAGGAGGAAAGCTCATAGACCTTCAGAGGAACTGGCTGATTTAGCTGAAGGCATATTTGCTCGCTTTATGCAGTCATCTTGATCTTCATCTAAGCTGCTCAGAGCATTCAACTGGTTTACAATTTCTGTAAATAGAAGCCAGCCAAGACAAACGTAAGGCAAGGGCATTTAATGAAACAGAAGTGGAACGAACACTGTTACTAGAAAGAGAGTGAATGAGGGTAAAAGAGAAGACACTCAGAGTTAATTAAAAGAATACATTTAGAACAAGTCCTTACAATGACATACCTACAGCAAAGCACTTGTGTAGGTTCTTCAGTGATAATTTAACAAGAAATTCAGTTAACAGACATAAACAAAGCCTTGCCGGGTTGCTGGTGTCAGCAACAGTAATTAGTTTTATGAGGATGAGTATGCACATCAGTTCAAAACTTAGATGTACTAGATATGATTTAAAGACTTTTCCTGCTCGTGAAGAAAACATGAATTTTAAACGACTGTCAATCAACACGAAACTGCCCCAGAACAATTTTACCTTCCTTCTAAACCCTTAAGGCTACAGAAAACTAATACATACGCATGCATTTTATATATTTTATTTATCTATACACACACACACTGATTGTTTAATGTTTACGAGTCACCATTAAATTCTGACCTACGACAAGTCGAATTTATCTAATAATTCTAAAAGATATGGTCCGTATTGTGCTATGAGAATGCGTACTGAACATACATATTGAATTTGCCACTGTAATGCTATGCAAGTAACACCTTACAGTTTGGTAAAATCCTCTTTCACCTTCTATCCGTAGTGGAGAGCTCTGAATTGTCACAAACTAACAATTTTTAAAATGTATTAGTGTTTAATTCTAGCCAAGAAAATGATGCCTCCATAATTCTGGAAGAAAAGAAAGAAACAAAAAACAACTAGGTCTTAGTGGCTTCTGGCACAAGGGGAAAAATTCCTCTCTGATCCCCCCCTAAAGTAGTCCCATCCACAGCATCTGACAAATGTAGTTTCTGTAGTATTGGAGATTGAGCGTGGGGCATCTCTGAAAGACCTCAAACGTAGGTTTCTGTGGAGAGGAGACAGCCCTCCTCATCCTTCCAGCTGACAAACAGGCAGGAGAAACCTGTGCAGGAGAGATGATCCTGCTTGTTGAATACCATTGCCCCTCTGACAGGTTTTTTCAACTCCTGTCTTTTCCCAATGAAATAAATGGATGATGTCTTCTGGCATCAGCAGTGAAGTTAAAGCTATGTAGATACCTTTACTACACACTTCTCATGCCAATCATTCTTGGATTTCCTTTAAACTTCAATTTCTTGTGTACATAGGAAGTTACTTCTTCATAACGCTTTTAGTTCACCGCTGTTTTGAACTTGACTTTTTCTCGTATGGCTTTTGTTTGGAAAAGCAAATGTTTGTCACTGACACTTACATAGTAATCTTCATTCTATGAACTAGTTTCAAGGAGCAAGGAGCAAGCGATCAGATTGAGGTGAAAATTGAGTGGTACTGTGACTGTCCCAACTCATGCTGATGCCCACAGCCACCCAGAACTTCTGAGCAGGGGGGACTCATGCTTTTTCACAGGGCAACCCTTTCATCAGTTGACACAGTGACACATCTCTTAATTTCATGCCTTCACACACAGCATAAAAAGCCTGAAGCCAAAAGCAGAGTCCAGAACCTGAAAATATTTCAGTCATGTGGTTAAAAACTTCTTTTCCAAATTTAAACTGCTTTAAGATATGCCAATCTGCAAATTACCAAGTGATATGATCTATGCTGTCAATATCTATTGGACATAATCTATGCTGACAATGACAGAATTCCTCTTAACCTCACCTCCTAACTGTTCTTGACCTTAAAGCAAAAATCTGCTTAGACGGGATTAGATTTATATCTATCCACACAGAGTTAATTTCACCATTCTCAATTCCTTATTTTTAGCTCAAACAAGACTATTGTCCTAAAAAATAACACCAAAACTGCCCCAAAACTCTTAACTTTTCTCCGTATAAAAATCATGTATACACCTTAGAGATCTGAACAATATAATACTATCTTCTGGGAATTTTTAAGACTCAAGGTACACAATGGAAAAAACCTTGCTGTACTCAAATAAAACAGAGTTGACCTTATAAAACACTAGTACAAACAAATTACTAGCTTAAAGCAGGCTGAGATGCTGACATGATTTACAATCTATTATGCCAGCATGTGAAAAAAACCCAAAACAATTACAATTCAGTTTTTATTGTCAGAATATAACAAATTAAGTTCAGAGCTTTAAAAAGAGGGAATTCTTTGATGTGGTCTGAATCACCTGGTCGCATCTGCCAACCTAAACACCCGTATGCACTACAATGTTTCTCATTACAGTATTAAATGGTTTATGTCATATTTTGGAGTGTGGAAATGGTAGGTTGGAGATTTATGTCCTATATTATCTTCCACAAATCTCATTATCTACAAATGCATATTAGCTTGTTCTACAAGTATGTGTCATATAAATCACTGGTTTGGGTTTGTTTTTTTCATTCTTCTCTCTTGCTCTTGGGTTTTTTTTGAGTAGCTTGGTGCTACTGACAAAAAAGAATAAATCTATCAGAAGTTTACATGAGAGGTACAGTTTTGCAAATGGCAAGAAAGGGTTACACATACTGCTCTCCAGAAGCCCGCTCTTGAAATATGCTGGGATTCGGACTCCTGCAATATATGGCACATGGGCACGTTGCTGAGTCCATGTGGTGCCCCAGGACAGTCACCGTGCTCCTGTGCAGATGGAGCAGGAGGCAACTATTAACTTCAGCATAAGGCTCTAAGCATAAATTAAAACATTAAGAGAAGCAATGTATTTATTACTACCCTAAGTTTGTGAGTTATGAGCCACATTTCTTCAAGTATGTTGGGATGCCTTGTCTTCAACTGAAGACTAAGGACAGGATAATTCTGGGAGGTTTAAATTAATCTATATTAATAGCATAGAACCAAAATATTTGAAACTTATTTCATGGCTACAAACATCATGTTCAACTTCACGCAAAACAAAACAATTATGTGGAGATACAGCTTTTACACATGAAAAATTTAAACAAGTATTGGGAAGGAAGGGGAAAAAGCCTGAGACAGAGGGAGATGTTTTTTAAAATTAAAGTAGTGCTTTGAACAGAAAACATCTTTCAGTTTGATCTTAAGGTCAGTTGTATGGCAACAGCTCCCATGTTGACCACACCAAATTCCACAGTGCTTTTGAGGTAGGTCAGTATTGCGCCACTTATTTCATAGCTGAAGAAACAGAGGCTTACGTACCCAAGGTTAGGCAATACATCAAGGAAGAGAAGCAGCATTTCCTAACTCACCTGCACCATCTAGAGCCCCATTCAACAGGTCTCCTTTGCTCTCCTAGCGGTGGATATATTTGTTCATCTATAGAACTGTAACTTTGGGCCCAATAAAAAAAATTAACTTCCGTACACTGCAAAAAGGAACAGTGTCTGTGATAAAGATTTGCAGCACCTCTTCTTGCAGCTGTGGCTTGAGAATGACAATGTTTCAGTCATCAAGTCATCCAATGTTTCTGTGAGAAGACCTTGAGTCAAAAGTAGGATAAGAATCCCTTCTGCTTTACCACTTACACTTTACTTTTTCAAAGCTCGCTTACAAACACTAACCATGTAAAACGCCCATCGTTCCTGTGAAGTAGTGATAGCCAGTATCCCCATTTTACATTTGGGAAAACAGGCGCACCAAGGCGAAGTGATTTGCCGCAGGGGACTCTGAGTCAGTGAAGGCATTCCAGCTTGTGCGGCTGCCAACACCCTAACACGGCAACAGATGAGAAAATGCTGGGAGCAGCAAGCTTTCAAAACGGTTATGTAACTTTCTCAATTAACTTCATGGAATTCTGTGAACACAATTTTTTTTGAAAGAAATTTCAGAAAGAGTACTTCACTACATCAGTTTTGTTCCATTTCCTTATTTCTATATTCCTTCCTGTTGGTTTGTTTCGTGGTGGTGGGGTTTTTTCTGGTTTTTGTTTTTTTTTTTTTTTACAATGATTCCTATCTTTTTCTCCCTTGGTTCGTCAGCTGTTCTCCCTGTATTTTGGGAGATTATTCTTCCCATTCATTATATTTATTACAGGAATCACTCCAACTGCCACTGAAATCAGTCTTGAACACATGTTGAAATAGATCCTTTACATTTTATTTATTAATGTTTACTTACTGCCCTCTGTTTTATGTTCTCCCATTTGCTTGGGAAACTGCATGCACTCCTCCTTCAACAACCCTCTCATCCCTCTCCTTGTCTAATGTGGGAAAAGTTACCCAGGCTAACAAAGCAACTCAGCTGATGTAGCCAACACAAGAAGAAGAAGTCAAAGGCTGACCTTTCCCCACTCAAGTTCCCTTAATGATGCAACTACAGAAAAACCAACCCAACCCTCCCATCTTGTATCATTAGAAAACAGCATCAGAACAGGCTGAACAGTGAGTCGATACAATGTAGTTCAGAATTATTTATTGCTTCTGCCTTTCAAGTAGGTCTTGTAATGTTTGCTTAGAACAGCTAATTTTGGCCTTTACAACAACAGCTGGAAAAGCTGAAATGCCTCTAAAGCGACTCAACCTAGGACCTTGAGTTGCACGTCAGACAGCTTACCCTTGCCCGTCTATCTCCAGAGACGTTCACTACATAGCCGAAGGATAGTGGACAGACTAGTCTAATCTACATCAGCTTTTTGCTTGTTGGCTTGTTTAGATGCTGAACACTGCAAAACCAATAAAGTTGAGAAGCAAGATCTGCTGCTTTTCAACTACTGTTGAACCACTTCCTTCTGCACACAGGCTTTCCATAGCAGTCCTCAGTGCAGTATCTAGGCATATCTTAATGGAATACTTCTGTTGAAATAGCTTATATAGACTTTACGTAGTGTCTCCTTTATGTGCCCGTCTCTTCTCTGTGATTATGGCCTGGTGAACATGTCAGGTTTTGTTTGGTGTTCTAACCCGCACATGAATTATTCTGGTTACACTAAGAAAGGAGAAGACAACCTTGCAGAATGATTTTAGTATGACCAGACTGGTATATCTCTGCTCCCTGACCAAGAATACATTATCTCTGTCTCTCAAATATTTCATTCTGGACTTTCCAATCTGCTCTGTGCCAGACTCATACAGCGTAAGTAGAGATTTGGTCAGGATACAAAACATTTAATTGAATATGTAAAGCACAGAGAAAATATATTTGCATCCTTTCACAAGACTAAATACAACTAAGTAATAACTGCTTTAGGCTGAAACTTTTGATTGCAATGAAAGCTTGAAAAGAAGCAATGAAAGTAACATTTTGTAACACTAAATCAACGTTAGTCTGGATTTTCAAGAACAGATTTGACAATTTACTTCTCTGTCTGGGATGCTCTTCCCCACCTTAGAGAAGTATCCCTTTATTTCAACAGACATTTTTAAAGAGCACTGGCGGGCATGAAGGCTGGCAGCAGAAGTTAATTTGTCTTTTCCTGGTATTTTTTTTACACTATGAGTTCCTGCAGACATTAACGATCTCTACCAACAATTTACCATCATCACATCCTGATCTGACTTGCATCGATTAGTTCAGCTATCCTGGACACACTTAGCATTTTCATTGGCAATTCAAATGTGGTTATACTATCTCACTTCAAACAACCTTACTATCAAATTCTGTTAAAGTCCTTAATGGTCTCCTGATTTCATTTTCATGAGACACCCCAACCAAAAGGCAGAAGTATGCTGCCTGGAATTACCATGTTATTGAGCAGAACCTCAGCACCTACCCATGGCACAATTCATTTCGCACTTATTCTCACAAATTGTCTTCATTATTTCACTTCAGGTCATCCTCTTGCCTTCTCACTCATTGACCCTTTCCCTCTTTTTACTCCTCTGTTCACACTGGTTCTTTGCTTCCCTAAAATGCTACCTACTTAGTGCATTCTCTTCTAAAAAACAGGACACACACACACAAATATCAATGCTCTTGAATTCACAAATATTAAACTTTGTTGAGTTACGGATGGGTCCCTCTTCAATCAAACTATCCTAAATTCTATTTTGCTTGGGATTTTTTTAAAGTTAAATACAAACACAGCATGCGGATAAAATCCACAGGACACAGCTGGCAATTAGCAAAGGAACTATATCTTACCATCCCTGTGGCAAAACCAACCTGTAATTTTTGCAGCCTTTTCCTCTTGATTCACTCTGTTTTCTTCATCTTCTTCATTGTCTTCCTCAAAATCATCTAGATTTCCAATATCAGCTTGTTTCATACTCATCAAACTTGCCAGGCTTTGCATGTCTTCATCCCTAAATAACAAAGTTAAAACCAGGCATTAAAATGCATCCTGTTAATACCACATCTGATACTATTGCATTATTAAAAATCCTTTAAATATCTTTATGCTTTCTTTTCTTCAGGGAGGTCTTTGATATCTCAGATCTGATCTTCAATATTGTGAAAGAACAAAATGAATACACTCATGTATATTAATTTCTGAAGGGAAAGTTTTCTATTAACAAAATTCTAAAGGGTAAAAAAGTGCTGCCTTGCATCAAGAGTCAATTTAAGGTCTGCTTCTTAAAAATTTAAACCAGCCCAGAAATGCTACTAAACACTTCAGTGAAAATGAAAATGCTTGGTCAGACCTACTGTCCATATGCTGCACGTGACACCTACCACTGTATTCATTCAGAACTATTGACACTGTTACAAAAATTAAAATCCCTTTTCTAAACATCTGAATTCATTAACAAGATAAAAAGCTATTTCATATCAATGGCCAATTTATTTGCCTGTATCGCATATATATCTCCCTCACATAACTGTACCTTTCATATCAAATATATGTTTGATGAAAAGATGACAGTACGTTTGTTTCATTAAAAAAACACGATTGTTTAAGTACATAATGTCATTCTTGAAGGAACGGCAGTCTTGCCTCTTCTTTTCTAAAACCGTTTCAATAGGTTTATTGGGGTTAATCAAATTTTTTTTTTGGCTTCTTACCATAAGACAGACTTGGGATTGCGTGGCAAGGGAGCACCTCTGCTGAAAACAGCCTAGAGATCTTGGTGGAGAGCAAGCTCAAGGACAGCCAGCACCATGTCCTGGTAGCCAAAGGAGGCAAACAGCATCCTGGGACACATTAAAACAGGACCACAAGCAGTAGCTTGAGGGAAGTCATGACCTCTATTTCCTTGGAGTCATTGAACTGCATCTATGGCACTTTGTCCAGTGTTAGGTCCCACAGGACAGGAAAAGGTGTTGATAAACTGAAGTAAGGTCAGCAGAGGGCCATTGAGATGGTTTGGGGCTGGAGCACTCGCCCAGGTGAGTGCTGAGGTAAAGAGACTTCTTGAGCCTGGAGAAGAAATGGCTTCAGGAGAACCTAGCAGCAGCCTGCCAGCATTGTTGAGAAGACAGTGGTGCAAGGTGGAGGATGAGAGACAGTGGACATCAACTGAAACCAGAGAGGTTCTGATGTGATGTGAGAAAAAAGTTGGAACAGTCATCAACAAGCAGTAGGATGGGTTGTCCAGAGAGGTTGTGCAGTCTCCATTCTTGAGGGTTCAAGCCCCAGTGGGATAAAGCCCAGAGCAAAGTGGTCTGATCATACAGCTAACTGCTTTAAACAGGAGGCTGACCTGGATAGCTCTACAGGTCCCTTCCAATCTGAATTATTCTATCTTCTTTGAAGTTGATCATGATACAACCAGATGCACAGATTTTGTGCCTAACAATGCCAAGAAAACTATACAAATTATTTTAATGGTACCACTTAGAAGAATAAAAATGATGTACTAATCATGCCTCAAGTCTGCACAGAGGCAGTTAAAAACATGGGATTAAACTCAGTGATTTAACATGTTGTTAAAATCAGAAACTCTTTGGGGCAATCATTTCCTACTGTGTGAGTTCAAAGTAATCAGCACTACAGAACCCGCAGTTACACAGGACAACTAAGTACTTCTATCAAAAGTATTAATAATACTAAATGTAAAATAAGTAGCTATCAGGAAGTCACAAATGCCTTTCCATTCATGCAGAATCCTCAGGTTTTATCTTCTCCATTTTATAACCAATAGGTTAAATCAATTCTTTAAGCACAGGGGAAAACATGTAGCATCCTATAACTGCAACAATAGGCAGACTCTTCTATGCACTGAAGACAAAAAGCTGGGAGCAGTTAGCACACAAATCTTGTGTATCACATGTTCATGTAAAGTTTAGAAATGAAAAGGTCTCCAAAGTACTATTTCTTTTTACTGTCCTTTCTTTATTAATACTTTATAATATTTTTTCTGTGTTTTAGAAATAAGATTATTTTTGATACTGCATAGCAACAGGTTGCAGTATTTTCTTTACAGAATGCATAAAATAAAATTAAAGGTTCATCTCACTTCATAGAACTACAACAGTTTGTAAGAGATGTAAGCAAGCCTTGGCCTAGATACCTTTTTTGCATGTTCATATATCTTGACACCTGAATTCTGTGTTTTATTTTGACTAGTAAGACAGTCTCTATTTACACATACTGGAAACCAATGCTTTAACAAACAGCAGCTTTTTTTTTTTCAGGTCCCTGGTTCAGGCCAATATTAAAGCCCTGTTGTTAACTTACAGTCTACCTGCTTACAATCTTCCCACTGAAATTGACAGATTTCAGACTGAAGAAGGTATATGTGATCCTAAATGGATCAGCTTTTACAAATTATGGCCTCAAAACCCACTAAGAGCCTAGTATAGCTATTTACTGTATAGTTCATGGATGCTGGTTGTTCCAAAAAATTTAAAGACGCTAACAGATACTGACTTTTTCATTCCAATTTTTACTGCAATAAACCGCGTTAAACTGCAGCTAAATAACCTCAAAATATCATTCTTATATGGTATGTCAAAATGTGGTTTACAACAGGTTAATCAGAGAAGGGAAACAGTAATATTAATTAACAGCAATTAATGCATCTGTGGCTTTCAAAGCATGCAAACAAAAAGCCTTTTTGTGTCAAAATGTATGCCTTAACATGGCAGTCTGGAAAGCAACAGTTTGGGGTACTTGTATTGCAGTGGGCAATGTCTACAAGCGCATTCAGAATACTGAAAGCTAGAAGTAAATTGTTAGCCTTTTGGAGGGAAAAAGAAATTTTAAGAAAGGTAAAAGAACCACTAGAGCAGTAGTTTCCCCGTCTACCTCTTTTTGCTCTGCCATTCTCACATTCCCATATTCTACAGACAGAAAGGAAAAGCAAAAGAGGATAGGTGACAAAAGATCCATTCTCCAGCCACATGAAGTTGTCTACATGAAGTTGTCAACATCTGACATCTTGAATCTGACAGAAATTGTAGCAGAGGTTATAGGACCTGCAAAAATAATCTGTATCTTCTGCCCTCCAAAGGCTGTTGAAATAAAGTACAGAACGAAGTGAGTGAGTAGGGGGAGTGGTAATCAGTGCCCAATTGAACTCTTTTCACACTATGTTCCCGTGTTCAACCCAAAACCTTACTTCTGACTCCACCCTCTCTCACCTTACAACTGGCTTTGTCCTTCTTTCATTCTTTGTGAAATATAAATAGATGAAATAGAAATAAGTTCTCCTTCCCACATTTCCCTTGCAGTCTGCTAAGGGTATTGTTAGGCGAACACACACATGCACACAAACGTACACTCCTGCTGATTTCAGACCTGTAGATATTTTTAAGCTGCCGTTATTTAGAATATCTATAACTGTCGAGGACAAGCCATTTGTCTCTGAAGAACACAAGACTAAAATCAGAGTAAGAAATGACTTTTACTCAGCTAACAAACTAAGTATGGCAGGAATGATAGGTATGCTGAAGGATACTCTCAAATTCTGCCATTCTACACAGAAAGAGCTCTTTATCCAAAGAATACTTTGAAAAGCAACACAAAGCAGGCTATCTAGTTAAAAAACAGCACCACACACACACACAACAACTTACGTGGCTTTTCCTTCCCTCAGGAAAATACAAGATAAAGAGAACTGTAGTGTGGCAGATACCACTTTCTTAGACAACGGCTTGAATTTTAACTTGACATCTGTCTGTGTAGGCATGGGACTTGCATATTGCTTCATGTTGATGCTGCTGGTAGCAAGTGCTTTTCTGCGTCCAGAAGGAGATTCCTGAAAGCAAGGGAAAAATAAAACTAACATAAAAGGTGCTGTTACACTAAAACCTCTATGTGCATAAACCAAGAAATACATTTATTAAATCTGCATCATGTTTTTCCAAGTACACAGGCAGCAGGGTTTGGTACGGTCCTTTCTAGAGAAAGAAACCCATTTCTTAAACTAGGTCAGCCACCAATGGTGGTGGTGCAATGGAAAAAAAAAAAAGTTATTCATTGTGATTTGTGGTCTTCCATATGGGATCCTAGGTCTTAAACTGTTTGAGCTTGTAGTAGCATCCACAGCACACATCCTTTTAAACAAGTGGGAACATATCTCTATTCCTTCTGATAGTAAACTGGACTAGTTTTGTCCAAACCTGGATAGTCCTGGACTAGGACTTCCAACCTATGGAAGACATGGATTTCAGTTATGCATATATTTCTTTACATAATGGTATGAAGCCATCAAGTTAATATTTTCAACTGCTATCTGTGTTCAATGCTCAAATATAATGCCTGAATATTTTTCAAAGCAGTGGTACTTCTCACTAATGTTGTACATGTACTATCAAGAATGACAGGTTTCTGAAATTAAGGTTGACAATGCTTCCAAAAATATTGATAAAAATTCTGCAAGGAAAAAAAAAGTAAGAAAAGAGAAAGATAAAAGCCTAAGTTGTATTTCAAGATAAATGTGTTGCTCACAGTTTAGTAATTCAGACAAATTAATCTAAAATGCACCTAAGGATCTACTCTCTTGTTCCATCTAATAACAGCACCAGCGGCAAATGAACAATTATATGTAATAAAGCTCCAGTAACAAAAATAAAACAAAAAAGCCCTGCTGTTAACTCTTTTGAAAAAAGTTCTCACATATAAATACTACATTTTACTGCAATTGACAATTTGTGTTGAATAAAGAATACTAATTCAATCAAAACATTCAAGCATCCTTTCTCAAAGTACTCGACATTTCTGCCCAGTAGAGTAAGTCAGAATGTAATATGTCATCCCCAAAGAATACCTTGTTTAAAAAACTAGCCTTATCTGTCAGATTATGCACAGCAATATTATACAGAACTATTAGTGCATGTAGATACCTTATGAATGAATTTCAAAAATGCATCAAACACTTGAGAAGGATTTAGGCCCTCTCAGAAGAAATACTTAAGAATATGCAAATACTCTCAACTGAATCAAATTGAACAGATGCGACTATCACAAACAATACAAGTGCTCTT